CCCCCCCCCCCTCCATGCCCAAGCGGCTCCTCATCCTCCCAGAAATCCCCGCTCTTCACCCTAATCCCTGAGCCCATCAGCTGCCATCCCCCCCCGGGACCCAAACCCGACCCTCCAACTTCCACCCACCGCCACCACGCCCTCTCCTCCCCGCAGCCATGGGCGTCGCCATCGGGTCGTCCATCCAGATCGCGATCTTCGCGATCCCCTTTGCAGTCATCACCGGATGGGTCGTCGGCCGCCCCTTCTCCCTCGACTTTGACCCCTTTGCCGTGCTCGCGCTGGTGGTGGCGGTGCTGCACGCGAATTTCGTGACCGCGGGCGCGAGCAGCCACTGGCTCATGGGGGTGGAGCTGATAGCCACTTATGTGCTGATCGCGACGGCGCTCGTGTTCCGGTGAGGGATCGTCGATTTTTGTCGCCATCTTCTTGTTGCCGCGGCAACGCGCGCGCGTCCCGGCGGCGGGCCTCGGCGCGGCGAGAACGGGAGCGGCGCGAAAAAACGTACGAAAAACGAAAAACGGCGGGAGGGGCCGGTCGAGCGCGGGGCCATGCGCGCCGCGCAAGGTCGCGGCTGAGCGGGATGTTGGGTTGGGGGCGCCCGCGGCCGCCCCTGGCGCGGGGATGGCCGCCGGTCAGGAGCTGCTTCCTCTGCAGGGCAAGAGGGGGTTGGCGCAGCCGCGGCGGCGCTCGCTGCGGCGGCGCACGCTCTCGTACATCGTCGCGCGCCTGTCGCAATGTGGCATGAAGGGCACGGGATGCATGGTCGGCGCGTTTTGGGGGCAGCGTCACAGCTGCTGGAAGATTCCTTATGCCTGCTTTCTCCCCACACCTTGTCGTATCACCTCGACGCCGGCCCGCATATATCATCTTACAAGCACAGCTGTTGTTGACTGTTTATAGCGGCACGTTTTAATTTGTCGGGCTGCTGCATAGGTCGGGTGAACTTGTGTTGATTGGCTGCCCCAGCAGGTGCTCCCTTGATGCCATTGGCGGCCCGCGCGTCACCCCGCCTGGCCCATTACGCACACAGTGCCCGCCCGCTAAGAAGCACCTCGCCCCCCCCCCCCTTGCCCGCACGCCGCGCGCGCTTTGATCGCGCGTGCGCTGCGCTGTGGCGCCCCGCGCCGGCAGCCCGTGATGTGGCTGCGGCGCCGCCCAGCCCTGCGCGCCTGGGGCGCTGTGGGCGGGTGCCTGGCGGGCGGGTGGGTGTCCCCCCCTCTCTGCTGTCCAGCCGGCTGGCCCGGCACACAAACACTGGTTATGCCATCAACCCTGGCCCAGCCGACAGGAAGGCATACCGTTGCAAAGATCGACAACAGCCTTTTTACCCCGGGTGTAAACAATCATTGTTGCTGCAAGCTAGAAGCGTGTTGCACGCCTGAACTTGCCCACCTGCCAGCAGCCCGCGCTGCATTGGTGGTTCGAGGCCCCGGCGTGCACACGTGCTCACGCCAATGCAGCAGTGCTGCCCGCACTCTAAGAGTGAGGACAGGGTGCAGCAGGCGCTGCGCCCAGATACCGACCCTCCACACCCCGCCGCCTGCCGCTGAGCGGGCGCGCTGTGACCGAGGTGGTAGCGGGCACTCAAGCGCGGCTGCTGCCTGGCCCTCTGCGCCTGAGCGGGGCGGCCGCCCGTGCAGGCAAAGCTCAGCCGCGGATTTTCGGGTCTCACGCGGCGGGGACTACAGGACCACGAGTGTTACTAAACACATAATCGCTCACATTCAATTGTCACGACGAGTGGCCGTCAAAGAAGAGCACAGATCACCGCAAAGCCGGCCGCCGCCGCTGCTGCGCGGACCGGGCTGGATGCCGCAACACAGAGGCCGCAGCGCTGGACTGGACGCGAAAGATTTGCCGATGGGTGCGCGGAGCCTGACTCGGCGGGGCGCGGCCTGCCCTGGAGCCCAGCCGTCGATGGGGGTTGTTGGCGTGCGTGTGTGTGTGCGCGTGTGTGTGCCTGCTATGTCCCGCTGATCATCTCCCCCAGCTTCTGGAATATGCCCTTGTGGGGGTTGGTGAGGTCGATGAAGTAGTCCTGGGAGAGGGGGAGGGTGCATGTGCGTGATGTGAGGGAAAAATGTGTGGATGTGTGTG